CGATAACTTTCCGAAAATCATTGATTGAAAGAATCATCCATCATATTTTTATTCTAACATCAACAAAATATTTCCTCGTTCCTCGTTATTGATTATAGAGAATGGTGTGTGAATACATGTTTACACTCTTTTTTCAAGATTTTGATATTGAAGTTTTGTTAGGAAAGGCGAGACTAATCATAAATTCTAATATATAAGATGAGGAAAGTAACAAGCCTGAGGAAGGGATATTATCCCAATGGTCTCGACTGTGATGAAAATAATCAGGTTTTACACAAAAGACTCGTGTATTTCGCATTAAAACAATCGACTTATATATTTAGAGTGTATACTTCCGCTAAAACAATATATAAACACTTTCATTGAGTTTCATGTTGAGAAGGATTACACGTTTAAGTGTACATAATATGGATTCTAATGGCCGTGACCTTTACCTATGTGAAAGTAATTGTTGTCTGTACTTCACATTTCCTGTCTGTATAATCATCATATTATTAGCTTCTCAGCATTATTTAGTGTTTCAGCTTGAGCTTAATCGAATGATAATTTGTTAACCGAAGTATGCGGACGTTGAACCAAGACGACACAAACAATATTCCAGGCAAATTATCTAGAGACCAGTGGCTGACGGAAATAAGCAGGATTCTTACCAGTTATTGGTGTGACGCTGCGACGATGACGGGATGTCATAGAATGGGTTTCCGGAGGTACTATAATGCAAAATATTCAGAGATAAGATTACAAGAACCAAGTAAATGACTGTACAATGTACGCATTCATTTCCCCTCGTTTAATCGATTTTGACATTTAAGAACGATTTTTTGACATGTCGTATTATTCATTGGTTTCTATGATAAATTCAACTCAATAAAAATACATCCTACGCCAAATGTAGACTCGAAGTATTTTTTGTACATTGGAACAAATGTTATAATCGAAAAGACACTCAAGTAGATAGCACCTTATAGTACAAATGTGTATAATCTGGACCATGCCACTATTCGAATTAGTTAAAACATGACATGCAGATTACAGCAAACTTCGGAGATTATTAGACCACCAATAGCATCTCCTACCTACGATCTACGAGATTGTACAAAAGACAAACAAGTGAATAACACATATCACTGAAAATTTAAATAAGATACAGTATAGCCAAACAATGAATTAAGCTTCATCCTACAGCTGTTTCTTCCTTCTTGGACTTTTCAGTGATTTAAGAACCAAAATTTTAAACCAAGGAGACGACTGGGGAAAATCAGAATGATCGAAAAAAGACATCAACATCTGGATGGCGAGGTCCACTGACCCCATAATTCAATATCATTTTTGTTTTAGTTTTTTCATCAACAATTTTACACAGTCTGAATACATGAACAATGTATACCATTTAAGTAATTGCTTAAGATTCAGGTTATTGACAATAAAACACCTTGCCAGTTGTTGCAGATAGTTTGAATTTGTAATCATTAGCGAATGAAATAAGTGCAGTTTCGAGTCCTTGTTCAATCAAGTTTGTTTCATAAACTGCTGGGCTAATGTATCTACCATAGTACTGTATAAAGTGATAGCTACTGTTTATTTCGTTCCGTTGTAACCTTTTTTCCATTTATATGCCGAATTTCGTTTTGAACATTAACATTGGGATTTATATTCTTTGAAGTATAAGAAAGGCCCGGCAGTAAACACTTGACGTTATGAAAAGCTTTCAGACTGAATTGCACTGGTGGAAACTAGGTTACCTAAGCATTTACAACGCATTTCACAGCTTACCTAGCATCACTACAATCTGTCTGATCCTAGACAATGTTGTGAATCCTGATTTTATCATATGTTTAATTTCATAGTGTAAATACCTATGTCCAACATAATTGTGATATCCTTGTGTGTTGATTCTTTTCAGTGAAAACTCTTATTGATTTCCAGTAGAAGACCTGTTTTATAAAACATTGATACCGACATGTACGGTATCACTGTGTACGGCAGTTATACAGCATCTTTTCCTTGAGCTTTACATTTAGAAAGAGAGCAATAAGCATGACTGCGATATGTAATTTTAAAAGGGACAACATTACCTATATAATGTATGCTATATTAGCATGTATTCTGTCAATATCTATGTCTTTGTTATATTAGTATTTTTGTATATGAGGATTTGGCCATTTTACTTAATTAGTATTCATAAGTATGGGATTTATGCTTTCAGTGACAGGGTTTTAGGTATTGTTGAATGTGATAGATTTTAAGTCGTATTTCTTGTGTTTTAAGTACAGAAATCTTTTATCTATGTAACTTTTAACTGTACAATGGCAGTAGAATGTTATGTACCTAACACATTTTACTAAGTGTGAGGCTTTGGAGGGAGATTGGCCTTTGGCTACATCAGATTGTATATCCTCGATAAATAGAGTGATTACATTATTACATTTGCATTTGGTGTTAAGTGAATGTCAAATAAGATGTGACAGGCAAATAACGAAACATCCGAGATATACATAAAAAGCCAATTAACACATCGATAAACCTTATAAATAGAGTGATATCGATATGATTTACGCCATTTTGCCAACAACTATTCATATACCTGTTTCAATTGTATTGTCAATATAAAACGGCATAGTTTACCTTCCACAGTGGTCGTGCATGCTGAGATGTCCATCATCTGGTACAGAGTATCTGTATGAGTAATATGTGTACTTATTAGGCGTATATCTTTTACAAAATAAGTCAGACTTGTTTAATCATCAATGAAAGCCAACCAAGCAATTATCTTAATTAAAAACATAGCGCTTTCAATATGACCAATTCCACGGTCGTTATAGTGATCTCACTGAGAAATGTACTATTTCTTTGTGCGATATGAAGGTGACGTGGCAACTGCACAGGGGGATTACTCAATGAAAATGTGCATTTTTCAAACGATGTTCGTTCTCAGAAGACACCATACCCCAGTTCCATTTCTGAAAGCGCAATTATTTGACTTGTAGACATTTTCATTGAGTTAGTTCTCTGTGGTCTAATGTTCCTTAGTTTGTCTGTCTGTTTCCGTTGCTGCAGTATATCTTGTTCTCGTTTGAGAAAATGACGTTGCTTACTTCGATTTGAAGGAAGGTGAAGTCGATGTTACATCATGATTTTAACGGAAAAATCTTGTGATTGTACTGTTATATTTTATGATTTTGTTTTCACTATTACATGTTGTTATTTGAAATGAAAGAATTTTTTACCTCTGTCGTACATCATAAGATAGTACACAGTATATTCATAAAAGACTATTAGTGTTTGTAGTGTCCAGTGTTAGAGATGAATCTAGCCAGGAAGATATTGGTGGGGGAAGTATGCTTAAAACATTTAACTAAATAAAACGACGTAATCAATCATAGAGAATATAGCAAAAGGACATATTAGAGATATAATTCAACATGATTGCATATCCCACCAGCAAATAAAATATGTAACTATCAAAAAGTAGTGTTACGCTTTTTCGCATTCAAACTGCTGAATGTGAAAAAGCTATGTAAGCGATATTGGCGCGGCGAGATGTTACAACAAGAAGGAGAATTACTGACCGCAATAAATACAAAGTACATTAATAGAAATGCATCGTTAACGTCGTAACACAGTTAGAAGTAAACAATAAAGTTATATTAGAATGTCTTTATTACAAATCTGTGACTTGTTGATCTTGTTTTCGCCCGCCGTTTTTATTAGATGGTCAGTAAACACTTCTGGTATAAGATGTGTTCTGGCGCTAGCTATCGCTATTTTGCCGACGCCGTACAGTCGCACTTACAAGTTTTCCGTACTTCACGTAATGAGTCGAAATATTGGCACTCAAACAATATATTAAGACTTTTGTGGTAATTATAGATATGTTGGTATATAGGGGAATGAGAGCAAAAGAGTCAGCAGGTGGAACACGCGGACGTCACCCATCTACAGAATCACTGACTGGCTTCCTCATTCTATCGTGCGTTAATCATAGATTGAAATACGTTAACCAAGATGATAAAATCAGATAAAAGAATGAAGAAGAATAGAAAAGAAGTCGTAATTATCAGTAATCAACTAATTAAAGTAATTTCTGGGACACAATGAAAACATTTAACGCGAAGATGCACATATTAATGATAACATAGAAATGGAATATAAAGCTGTTGGTTACTGTTGAACTTACAAGGTGTTGCCACAAACGGAGAGTGGACAGGGACAAACGGAAAGGAAGACTTTATTCATCCATCGACAATGTATGTTTTCTTTTCTTTTTTTTTTTTTTTTTAATCTTATAGCTGCCATCCATCGGTACAGCTTATATATCTGTGTAGGTATCCAGAATTGTATCAACGATCAGGATTTCGTAGCTGTTATATATTCCTACCACCTCCAATATTTAAACGGATCAGAATTTTATGTTATATACTCCATTCTAATTCATTCAATATGTAACGAGACTGTTATTGCTCGGTGGCATAATTTGCGACATTAGCGTTCACATTTGCATATTAAGCTCCGATGGCGGTTTTTAAAAGACTGCTGTTGACAGCATAACGTAATGAAAATGACATCAAGAACACTAGTATGACTCCAAAACATCAAAGAAACGTTTAATGCTGCTATTGTCACGAATCATGTCCAGAGTGGCCATATTTATGAACAGAAACAACACTAATTTATCTTATATTACCTGGTGTAAATATGTTTTAATTAGAATATACAGGTTGAGTTGCTCTCGTTATCAATCAAGCATGGTTATTTTATTGCAGGTAATGTAATAATGTCTGCAGACAAAGATCAATTTATTGAACGCCTTACCTGCAGGTACAATAACCTACCTGCCGATACCTGTAAATCCCGAAGTATGGAATTAACATTAGGATCGAGGCACTTTGACATGCGTAACAATATTCCGCAATTTAGTTCTTTGTGTAATCGCCCATGAATCAAATGTCGGATTCATAATGCTCACGATTCTGTTATTTTTAACTGTAGTGAAGAAAATGTCAGAAGTCATACCGTCGGTAGGCTTCCGATGATCCAGAGCGGACACTGTTCGTTCCATTTTCTGTCTCGCCCACTTCTTGATGGAACCTGTATTTCATTAATATGTACAAAGCATTAGATCTTATAGATTGTATTCTTTCGATATTTGAATCCTCAGATAATTAAATCCAGGAAATGTTGCGATATACTTGACAAATACTCTGTATCCAAACGTTTGAAGGTATTGCAAAGCATTCTAAATGAATGAAGCTAGTGCATATGTATTAAATGTTTATTTTACAGTGACACCAGTTCACATGCTGTTCGATATCATTTGTAGAATCTGGGACTTGAGAAAATGTTTGTAAACAATATGAACTTCGTAATAAGATGGCCTCATTTTCGTCGGCACGATACTATGAATATTGATTTACTACCAGAAATCATAAAGTACATACAGTTATAATACACTCTTAACAAGTATGACTAATCATTAATGATATTACAGAAATCCTCACTTTCCGACTGATAATTGGAACTCACGTGCTGAGACAGGTTGGTGAGGCTGATAAATGACACTCCGATATTGATTCTGTAGTGGGAGACAGGTAAAACCTAAAACCAGACAACACTTAATGTCACTCAGAATATTATTTTATCAATCTGAGCTCATTCTTAAGAATTAACCTAAATCAGTTTTTGTGTTATGTCGCCAAAATAAAAAAAGCGTTCTCTACGTAAAGCGATTAGAGAAGAATCGTTTGTTGTGATCTACCTCTAAATCAGGACAAAATAGTTTACTTAGTCATTAATAAGAGGACACAACATTGATGGGGTAACCGCGAGAGGATAATATCACACCTAAGTACCTCTGATGACGTCAGATGAGTGACCCATCGTACCTTAGAAACTATGGAAATTCAGCAGAACTTTATTTTAACTAGAAGCTATTCCTATATGTAGAATGAATTGAATTATACAATGAGTTCTATACTTAAATTGCTACAACAAAGAAGGATCGACATAAACAATATCATAATGGTCATTAATACAACAATTTCCCACAGTTTTATAAAGAGAATATTTAGCTATAAAACCATCGGCTGTGTTTGGAGCCTTAATTGTATTTATTACATTTGCTTGAAATACCTCAATATGTATTTGATTGTAAATTCAATATTACTTGTGAAAACGACGAAAACACTACGACCGAAACCGGGCCACAACAGGTTGTTAACGGCCCAACACCTGATATAAAAAGTCATAAACTAAATAGTTACCCTCTCCTAAGATCCCGATAAATGTCACGAGAGTTGACAAGCCTCGGGCCGGCTTCTTTATCTTCATTTCTTCTCAAATGGTGAAATGAAAACTCACCTCTGCAGATGGTATATCAGTTTAAAATCAGTTGAAATTTGTTCATATCACATAAATAAATGTACATTTAGCAAAGCGATGTTAGTTATATAACTCTATGTGTCTAGTATCCGACACCATATTATAACGTGTATCAAGAGGACTGTGAGGAAAAGCTACGATATAACCTGTGTGAATTACCTGCTACGTTTCACTCTCACACATACTGCCATAATGATGCTGGTGACCACTAACAGGACGAGGACGGCAACCATAACCCACAGAAAGTATTCAAACAGGACGCCATTATCACCATCGTCCCTCAGGTCTGCGCATAGATATACATACAGATCCAAGATCAGCTAATTTGTAACCTAGAACGGTTATCTCAATGAAATTCTATTCAGTTGTTTTTAAACGTCTTGCAATTACGTTTCATTCATACCTGTTATATCTTGATCGCAATTTATCCCTTCATAACCAGAAAAGCAACGGCAACTTCCGTTTTGAAGACAATCGCCATGTATGCAATTGATTCCATCGCATTTTGTAATTGTCTGATTGCATATTGAACCTGTGTATCCCTCCCAGCATTCGCACAAGGAAACCTCGGGTGTGTCGGTAGTGCAGTTACCGTGAACACAAGTTAAAACATCACAGTTTCTTATATATTCACATCGGCTTCCCGTGAAACCTGCATCACAATGACATTGAGGGAATCCATAGATGTCTATCGAACAATTCCCATGGACACAGGTCAGTTTGTCACAAAGAGAAATGTTACTTTCACAATACTTCCCTGTAAAATTCGGGTGACATTGACAATAGGGCTCTAAGTTTATATTCAGTCTACAGTTTCCATGCAAACAAGGGATTTCGTCACAGGGTTTGGCTGTTTTATTGCAATTGTGTTCGAGGATATCACTATTACAAAGACACAAAGATGAAGCAACGACTGTGTTCACGTCACAGGTTCTGCATTTAAGTACGTCACAAAGAGTGACGTCACAGTATTGACCTGTAAATCCCACATCACACAAACAATATGACGAAACTTCCTTTTCTTGACAGTAACCATGAACACAATCTTCACTACGACAGGTGTCTCTTGTTGCTTTCGTTGAAGTGGGAAAATGAGCGAATGTAAAATCTTTGAAAGGTTTCGGACGTTCGGATGTTTTATTTCCATGAGCACAAACCATAGTATCAACTTTTGAACTTTCGCACAATCTTGGATAGTCTAAACAAGTAAGGAATTTCATTTGAATTATTACGTTCATCGCAGAATTCTGCATCAATTCGTCTTCTGCTCTACTCAGTTTGTAAAATATATCTATGGGATGTTTTAGAATATTATGTTCGTTTGATCGTGATATATACGAGTCTTCAAGCTTTATGTCAATAGTACTGACGATCATGGGGAAACATGAAAGTAAGGTTCCACTTGATTTACCTGATAAATGTACTAACGAGTTGATTGTTATTGAAGTATTGCTGCAATCTGTCCCATCACAAGTGAGATCAAGTAGCACAATGTCCGACACAGAATGAGATTCAATTAATGCTATTGTCCATTTACACCACGACTGTATTCCAGTTCTTTTGTCAATAGTATTACAAGCGAGTGACATTTTCACCAATGTCTGTTTGCCAATTTTCATGCTTTTTATTGCGATATTCGAGTACAACATTTTCAAAGACTGGAAATAATTCAGAAAACTTAATTCACATTTTGTCCTGAGTCTTATATCACATGTAGATACATTACAGAATTTAGTTGTGAGATCGTCCGGATCGATAATTGAGGTAAAGAATTCCTCAAAATTCTCACATCGTTTTCCTCTCCGCGTCAATGGACACTGACATTGGAAGTCAGTGTCACCAACGATCACACAGGCACCGCACTCACAAGGATCACCGTCACATGGGTGAATGATTTCGACGTCACAGCGTCTTCCTGTGTACCCCTGATTACAATTGCACTCCACTCCGTTTACGTAGTCCACACATGTACCATGAAGACACGATGTTACATCCTCGCATTCATCGACTTCCTCCGAACAATCTAAACCGATGAACCCTGGGAAACATTGACAGCCTTGTATATTTCCGGTGTAGACACAGAGTCCGAACTGGCACTGCGGACATATACACTGATATCCTCCCGGTGTGTTACGACAATCGGATCCGTGACAAACGTTCAACAGACACTCGTCGATATCAGTATCACAATGTCGTCCTGTGTATCCATCTTCACACTTGCACATGTATGTATCATTACCGTTAATGCACTGACCATTTACACAACGGTTATCCATACATGATTCCATCAATTCTCCACAGGTGGCGCCTCTGTACGGAGTTGAACAGATGCATAAGTTCGAGTTCTTAATTTCCTGGCATATTCCTCCATTTTCACATGGATTGTCCTTACAGGATGCATAGCTTCCATTCGAGGACTGGTTTGAAACTAGCATACTGGTCATCGTGTAGGTTTCTTCTTGCACTAGGGAAAACAACTTTTAAAAGTACATGTGAATGTCAATGTTACAATTGATATAGCTTTAGTAACTTAGAAATGAAAGTGTATATATTAACATATTGTCAAATGAATTCTGGAAATACTGATAACAATAACAAAAAAATACTGTAAAATTATTAATTTTCGCGGGGGATTTATTTTTATTTATTTTGTGGGTACTCTTAATCCCTGAATTCATATCCCACCAACTGTATTTAGACAAATACATTTCTTGTGATATGTTTTCCACGAAATTTAGTGTTCATGAAATAGTGATTTTTGCAAAACCTGAGAACTTGATCCCGACGAAATTATGTGATTTTACATTTATCAATGCATATTGCGCAATAAAAAGACGCCATATTTGGCTAACAATTACTCATCGGTTGTTTCAATGAAGACAACTGTTAGAGTGTTGCTGTTCATCAGTGCACTTAATGTGACTATAGTACTATGTGGCACGCTCATCCCAAGCTGGAAACAGGCCTACACGCTTCGAATTTCTTCACATTTGATTTGTATCGCATTGTCTTGGAAACGGATGTTTGCTGTAAAATTCACCCCAAATAACAAGGATATCATTATATTCCATTCGGAATAAAATTTCGTTGTGTCTAGTAACAAGTCATCTCTAGTTAACAAGTCATCCCTAGTAAACAAGTCATCTCTAGTAAACCAGTCATCTCTAGTTAACAAGTCATGTCTAGTAAAAAAGTCACCTCTAGTAAACAAGTCATCTCTAGTTAACAAGTCACCTTTAGTAAACAAGTCATCTCTGGTTAACAAGTCGTCTCTAGTAAACAAGTCATGTCTAGTAAATAAGTCATCTCTAGTTAACAAGTCATGTCTAGTAAACAAGTCATCTCTAGTAAACAAGTCATCTCTAGTAAATAAGTCATCTCTAGTAAACAAGTCATCTCTGGTTAACAAGTTGTTTCAAGTAAACAAGTCACCTCTAGTAAACAAGTCATCTCTAGTAAACAAGTCATCTCTAGTAAATAAGTCATCTCTAGTAAACAAGTCATCTCTAGTTAACAAGTTGTTTCAAGTAAACAAGTCACCTCTAGTAAACAAGTCATCTCTAGTAAACAAGTCATCTCTAGTTAACAAGTCGTCTCTAGTAAACCAGTCATCTCTAGTTAACAAGTCATGTCTAGTAAACAAGTCATGTCTAGTAAACAAGTCATCTCTAGTTAACAAGTCATCTCTAGTTAACAAGTCGTCTCTAGTAAACAAGTCGTCTCTAGTAAACAAGTCATCTCTAGTAAACCAGTCATCTCTAGTTAACAAGTCATGTCTAGTTAACAAGTCATCTCTAGTTAACAAGTCATCTCTAGTAAACAAGTCATGTCTAGTTAACAAGTCATGTCTAGTTAACAAGTCATCTCTAGTTAACAAGTCATCTCTAGTAAACAAGTCATGTCTAGTTAACAAGTCGTCTCTAGTAAACAAGTCGTCTCTAGTAAACAAGTCACCTCTAGTAAACAAGTCATGTCTAGTAAACAAGTCATGTCTAGCTAACAAGTTGTTTCTAGTAAACAAGTCATCTCTAGTTAACAAGTCATCTCTAGTAAACAAGTCATCTCTAGTAAACCAGTCATCTTAGTTAACAAGTCATGTCTAGTAAACAAGTCATCTCTAGTAAACAAGTCATCTCTAGTTAACAATTCATCTCTAGTAAACAAGTCATCTCTAGTTAACAAGTTGTTTCTAGTTAACCTGTCATCTCTAGTTAACAAGTCGTCTCTAGTAAACAAGTCATCTCTAATTAACAAGTCACCTCTAGTAAACAAGTCATCTCTAGTAAACAAGTCACCTCTAGTAAACAAGTCACCTCTAGTAAACAAGTCATCTCTAGTAAACAAGTCATCTCTAGTAAACAAGTCACCTCTAGTAAACAAGTCATCTCTAGTAAACAAGTCATGTCTAGTAAACAAGTCATCTCTAGTTAACAAGTCGTCTCTAGTTAACAAGTCACCTCTAGTAAACAAGTCACCTCTAGTAAACAAGTCACCTCTAGTAAACAAGTCATCTCTAGTAAACAAGTCACCTCTAGTAAACAAGTCACCTCTAGCAAACAAGTCACCTCTAGTTAACAAGTCGTCTCTAGTAAACCAGTCATCTCTAGTTAACAAGTCGTCTCTAGTAAATAAGGATGTACCAATACACATAATTAATTACCAACACAGTGATGTACAGAGGAGACTACAGCTATATCTGAAGTACGACAAGCTATCCGATGTATATTCAATTTAATGTATTGATCGGTAGGTAAATCTTCGAAGGGTACGAACTTCTAAATATTATTTTCCACAAAAAATATTGACAGTTTCATTCTGTTTCGAATGCAGTATAAATGCATTATCTATTTCTATGTTTTCACTTGTTTTTTATGTTATATAACATACAATAATTACCTAAATAAGGTCATACAAAAGCTCATAGCAAAACATTGCGAAACAAGAGATGCAAAATATACGAAGTGTGCAAACCTGTCGCCATGTTGTGACGAGCGTATCACGTGGTACGATCATTACATTCACTTCAGTGATGAAGCAGGTACGTTCCGCCTACATAATGTTTCTATCTACTTTTGTATATTGTTATTGGTATCAATTGTAACAATATATAGCTTATACGTTTAAACACCTGAAGTCAACACTACAAATGTGGTCTTTAGTAACCTGACCGACATTGTAATTGATTGCACAAAAGTCATACAACTGAATAGCGCCTTTCAATTTTACGAAATTTGCGTTTTGCAAAACAAATATTTCTGAATAGCCCCTTTCAACTCTAAGACAAAAGACACAAATGTGATAAGCACCTTACAATACCAAAATTGTACAAAAACACAAGTGAAGTCATTTTGCAGACTGTAAACAGACCTACAAGTAAATAGCGCCTTTTCCCATCTAAATTAAGAGTTTGATACAATAGCGAACAGTGCCGAATGATGAACTAAACAGTATTATAGAGTTAGTTGTAGAGGAAATTAAAGCAGTCCAAAATGAACGAAAGAAATGTCAATATTTAGATAGAGGAGGGGTGCATTAGCCTCATATTTCAATTTATTTTCATTAATCTGATCACTTCAGAACAACGTCAAGAATATAATTATATTTCGAACCCTGCTACTATTTAAATGAATTAAAACGTGGCCTAAAGGTTATGGCTAAAAGGCCAGCAGTGTCTACACGTCGTGAAGATTGTACAAAGGACAATAGTCAATAGCTCCTTTTGTTGTTAGATTTAGAATTCTGTTTCGTAGAACTGAAATAAATTGTGCTTTATCTCTGTTATCTTACTTTATATATCAGTTGCTATTCTCAGACCATCCGATGTCAATATTTTAAATCATCAGATTATTACCGAAGACAAACGTAGCTTGATACTGTATTGGTGATGTTTTCGCATTTGTTATAATTCGAAGGTACTTCCTGTTAGCAATCTCGTATACTTCAGGCACATCTTGTTGACATATTCGATTGAGTTGCAGTTCAGACGAGTTGTCGTCCGCGTACATTAGGATTCCCTCGCCGGTTTTATTACATATATTTCTGTCAAAATGTACCCAAGTGATATTTAAAAGTGCCTTGCACCCCGGTTTTATCCATATTGTTGTAACGCATGCGCTCTCCGACAAAAAGTTGTAGGGATAGCGTGGAAGAGCTACTACCCTGCTGCCAGTATAGTTGTAGGGGATTGATATGTTACAGGGCCATACTGCAAGGAAAATGAAACAAGATGAAATTAATTTTGGTAGGTAATAAATTCGTGTGAACAAATTTTTAATCGTTAAACAAGTGGGATAAAGGTAAATAAATAGACGATTACTTTTTAACTGTGTTTATCATTAACAAGTTCTGTCCCTAGCATTACAAAAGTATAAGACAGCTTATATCGGAGCGGTAAGGAGCGTCGTTTATGAAACAGAAGAAGTATATATGGGATAGCTTGAATAAGGATTTTGTTGACCTCTCTCTCTCTCTCTCTCTCTCTCTCTCTCTCACACACACACACACACACACACACAAACACACACACCACACACAAGGATTTTGTTGACTCTCTCTCTCTCTCTCTCTCTCTCTCTCTCTCTCTCTCTCTCTCTCTCACACACACACACACACACACACACAAACACACACACACAGTCTCTCTCTCTCTCTCTCTCTCTCTCTCTCTCTCTCTCTCTCTCTCTCTCTCTCTCTCTCTCTCTCTCTCTCTCTCTCTCTCTCTCTCTCTCTCTCTCTCTCTCTCTCTCTCTCTCTCTCTCTCTCTCTCTCTCTCTCTCTCTCTCTCTCTCTCTCTCTCTCTCTCTCTCTCTCTCACTTTGATCGTTGCATTTTCAGTGTGAAATGCAGCATTCTGATATTAGAAATATTAAGACTCTAATAAATTTCCTGACAATTGCACTAGAGACTGAATGGATTAGATTAGCAAGCATAACATCATTGGGTCCATCAAACATTGCATTTGAAATTTCAGAAAAAATAACACTTACAGATGTCAATAATTTATTTATATGAAAACATCTGTACCCGGCGGAAGAGTGCCTTTATTTAACGGATGAAAGAAATCAGAGTACCTTCATGAATCACATGTGTTATATTAGATATCTTTTTAACGAACAAAAACATTGCCACCATTTGAAAATAGGTATATTGGCTAATTTTGCTGTGTGATAGGTGTACATGGATACAGACTTTTGCCATTATTATCCATTTCACATTATTTGTTAGCAATGTCGATCAGTGTTGGAAGCTATGGTATAAACACTAGATATAGCAAAATTGCAGAGTAGAATTACCCAGAGTGAATCAAATAACCGTGTATAAAGATATATCGCAACTTCCATTATCTTTAACAGCTTCTAAGTTATCTTCCAGACAGGAAATTATTGGTAGAATCGCACTTATTCGACCTTTTACCTTGAGGTTAAAGTTACAGTTGTTTTAACGGCATATCGCGTTTATTGATGCAGCTATACTGCAAATTTCGCAAGGATATCTTTACCGGTTAAGAAGGCCCAAACAAAATCTGATCGGAAATACACGAACCAGTATAACAGATACTAATATAGTATGTCTCTCTTCAGTCGAAGGAGAAACATAATAAAATATTTTTGAATATCTGTGATAAAACTTGCAACACTAGCATTACCCATCAACCATTGTGAGGGATGGCGCTGGACTGCTATGACTGACAGTATTGACAGCTATGTTAAATTTATAATATCTTTTATGTTGAAAATATGTCAATACAACATATTTGCATTGTTATTCGTCATTCGATAAAATTCGGGATATGTCTCATTCTTTGATGTTATTGATATGTAATTTCCTCTAAAATATAGCTCAAGTCGTAACTTAATTATTGGGATTGAAAGTTTAACATAAATATGTTTTGGTATTTATGTATGTAAACATAAATGTAGATATCAGTGTATTTCCTATTATCCTACTGTTTCATAATGAGTTGATTAGCAAGGAAATCCTTCCATGTGATTAACATACAGAAATGTTTTGTAAACTGCTATTACCAAAAAGAACAATACAATCTTACTCGTTAAGGTTGGTTTGCTAAATGCCGCATGAATAACTGTTTCCTGACTAGCAGAATCAACAATTTGTGGTGTGTCGTAGTTGGTCGATAATGAGGACAGCTGACAAACCCATTACACAGGCATTTGAGAGATGCAGGTTGGTGCCGATATCTTACTGTCGTCATAATGATCTCATTGGGAGTATTCTGTTTCTTTGTGCGACATTAAGTCGGATTTGTTTGATGCTCGTTAGTTTGTCTGGGTGTTCCGTTATGTTCTCGTTTGGTGACAAGGCGTTACTTACTTGGATTGACTACACTTTACAATTATCTGATAGTCAATATATCTTAATTCGAAGGCAGTATGTGTTTCACAGGGCCATTGACATTACTCCAGAAACACTGAGTTTGTTGATTTAATACATATAGGAAAGTTAAGCAGAAATCAAAAGTGCATCGAACCGATACAAACATGACATGAAGGTCATTCTAAACCTTGAGGCATGACAAGATATATCTTTGTATTCACATTATCTATCACTTTTCATTGCATAGCCAGTCAAACAGTTGATAAGTCGGCGCAATTTTTAGCAAACAACGGCAATATCCTTTTTGGGAAAACCACCTAAAAGCAACATAAGTTTATGTACTAAAACCTTCATTAAGGAAAAGGTTACGTGGAGCGTCATGTCATTCGTACTCCTAGGCTTACATACGATGCATTTGTTACTTTGGCTTTTACTCTGTTATAAAAACTCTTTTTAATAATATTTTATAAATTCCGTAAAGGACCAAATTTTGTTGCAATAGGATAGACTGGCAGAAAGGCCTATTTTGACCTGTGATATTATGTGGAAGTAGAGAAGAACCAAATCAAGTCTTGCAGTGACGTGTCGGTACTTAGCAGCTCCAGTATGGTCGGTCCATGACATTTACAAGTTTTCAAACGACCTAAGAATTTTTTTCCCAATATAAGATCTATTGGACATAATATTACATAGTTCCTTTTCTTCTAAAATGCCATCGTACTCTCGGAATATTTTCGCTACCACAGCGATAGTTAACGAAGTTAATATAACTTTGGATGACGACGACAAATGCCAGTAGAACCCGCCTTCCCAATAGTAAATCCTAACACAATGTAACATTTTGTAGAAATCTTAGTATTTGGCAAAAAGGTAATTTTAAACTTTTGTAGGACAGTTTTGTATGGTTTTTTCTACAATCTACGTGGACGGTAAACACAGCTAAACATACTGTTAAAATTTGGTAAATTCATTATGTTGTTACTTTTGAGTTCCCATAAGCCTCTTGATATAACATCACATTAGATATGACTGCTATGGTAAACAAGGTGATGTATTAAACGGCATTGTTTAGCTGTTTTGCCTATACCACCATACACAGACATGGTAACTTCCCAATGAACCATGAGGTATCCAAATATTGAAAACAAATTTCATTAGTAAGTTGTGACTATCTACAGGGCTATTGAGAGATCAATATTGAGTTAAGTCATATTCATATTACAAAAGAGAATTTTGTGTATTTCTAGAATCCGAGGAAGGCCAAAAGGTGAAATAATTTCTGTCACGTATTTTGAAAATATTTGGAAGTTTTGAATGTCACTATGTAAATGAGCGGGTCGGTGTGGTTTGTACATGGTGATAAATAAGGTCTCTAAGCCAATGAAATGTGCTCCCTCGGCTCTGTTTTTAGAGCTGTGGATTATCACACCAGAGGTCTGGGTTCGATTTCTGTTTGGGCACTTGGCAGGAATATGGTATTCCGTATTCATGTTACATTGGTTCCCAACGAAAAACATCAAGAAAGTACCAACATGGCAACGTAATCATAAATATCATCAAAATATGAGGAAAAGAAAAATTTAAATAGAAACTCCTGAAAAAGTACAAGGACAATAAGGTATTCAGGTATTCCGGAATTCCGGAAGAGTAAGTATCCTCTGTTTCATCCTATTACCAAACTCGACGAAGATGTTGTCAACCAGAAACTCGATCATGTTTATGATTTCGTCCTCCATATATTTCTTCTTTGATTTGGACGTATTTTTGGCAAAATATGCTTCAGTATAGTTCACAAAGTTTGAGTCTCGATTTAGGAAATCTTAAGAAAATTAAAGAAATGTGAAACGGAGCGAGTCGGTGTGGCCTGTCTTGTGATGGGCCACTCAGCAGAAACATGTTTTCCTTCTTCTATCTCACTTGTTTGTTAAGGTGATTACATTAGAGAATAATTTACAGTCTCCTAACGCATAGAATACAGCCCTCTTGTAAATTGCTTTATCTATTTCATCATCAACTTCAATAAATCCCTATTGATAAGTAGTAGATAACATAGATTTGTCTGTCATAGTTAAGTCAGGTATTAAGAAAAGATCGCCATTTATGGCGAAACCATAACTTTTTAAAGAAACCCTTCCTTCTAAACTCGTCAATGGTAAACTGGCACTGAAACTATCATAGAAGTGTACAAATAACAATGAGATCCTCAGGTTTATGTGTCTTCTGGAGCGTGACACATTCAAATAATGAAACTGTAACAAGGAACGGTCGGTGGAAATGCTGATAATGACGATTTGATGCACGCGTGCCCCTGCGGAAAGGGCGATAGTGACGATTTGAATCACGTGTGCCCCTAGGCTTATTTCCCATTGATGGCGATTACTTGTGATGAATCGATCTAGTCCGAGTTCAGAAGCACTGGTTGTTTCTTCTTAAACGGTTACAGTTCTTTTTGTGGAAGATATCTTTGATCCTAGTTTTCCCTTGAGACGCCGCCTGTCTGTATTAGCCGACCACAACATACAATCCATTTTATTGATATACTGAGATTTTCATTGTGATCTATAAGAGAAATGTATACGATGTCGCTCTAAGGGACTTAAACACTATATTAGGTGTTTCGGATCAATAAAGAAACCATTAGAGTAAAATGACAGCTAACATTTCTATCAGGCATAATATATAGTGAGTGAAAGCCAGGGGAAATAAGAAAACTACTGACGTTCTTAAGTGTGTCTAATGCAAAGAGAGGAACGAGATGTTTCACACTCGACCAAACTTTGAAGCGAGCCGTAAAAATGAATCAAAACGGAATGCGTCAACTATAATCAGATATGAAAATACTTGTAAAATGCAAACTACATCAGTTAAGACAAATATCATACCGTTTTGTTTGTACTCGTAGTGGTCGATATCATCAAAGTACTCTAATCGTCCTCCTTCTTGGTCTGCTCTTGTATCAGACAAGTAGCAGCTCTGTGTCGCTGACCTAAAGTCAAATGACTGACATTGAAAGTGGGTATTTCTTGTGCATTCTTCTGCGCATGTAGCCAAAGATATGCCCTCCAGTATGGTTGTATAAGAATTGGGCAGAGGTAGAGTCGAGTGTGGCCACTTCTCGAACAAGTCACTGACTTCACCTGGAGCAAAGCAAAACGTTGGTCTTTATTTTGGTCGAACATATTTAAATGACAAAGCTGATAAGCTTAAAGACATAAGATCACCATTGTTAGTATTATAGAATCATGGTTTTATTGTAGTGATTTTCACCCCATACGCAGAATGAATGCTATCTGAATATTGAGCCTTGTTTACAGGTATCAATGAATTCATTGGCGAGAATTTGAAATCAAGGACACGATAGACACAACATCAGCCACTTACCTCAATCTTTTTCTACAACGAAAATACCAGCAGGTGAACAAAATACAAGAAAATTAAATAAATATCAACATAATCATAATCCAAACTCAAATTCAACCAAACATTGGTAAAATATGAACAAAAGAAATATTTACACGGAGACTCTTGAAAAAGTACAAGGATAATAAGATCAGATGATAAGAGAAGGGTAAATATCTTCTGATTCATCGACAACAACCGCCATGTAAACCTTGGTCTATCCAAGTATGTAATGTCACGTTTTCAAATTAGAGCAGAGTATACAACAACGGAAACAAGAGGCAAACTAACGAGAATGAAACACGTCTAGCGTGATATTACACAAAGAAATAGAATATCACTCAATGGAATCACTGTGGTGACCACAAAACTTCCCTATCGTTCTCATCAACCTGCATCTTTTGAACCCTTATGTAACGATTCGTCCTTCAGTTGACGACTTCTTGCACGAAAATCGTGATAATGTGAACGACCCTTGAATATCGAATCAATTGTAACATGTCAAAACCACATGTTGGAAATGCATGGAAGTTACTATCTAGAAATGATTCATTCTCAATAGGGAAGTTGAAACCATCACGCTTATCATACAGCTTGGTGGAAAGCTGTCCATGTTTGTTTCGTTGTAGGAAAAGACCGAGATTAGCAGCTGATGTAGAAGAGTATATTGTGTCTTTGATTTCCAATTCTTGTGGGATTGTAAGATGGGCATGGTCAATAAATTTCTAGTTATATAAGGACGAGACATCATCAATATATCTGAAAGTGAAGTTGAACGACTTTGCAAGGTTTATGATCTGCTTTGATAAGCTCTTCAATCAATTCAAAAACAAAAACAAGTCAGCCAACAGAGGGGAGCAGGTAGTTACAATATATATGCCACTAGTCTGTTGGAAAATCTTACCACGATACAACTCGACGGAGATGGTGTCAACCAGTAACCCGATCAGTTTTATGATTTCGTCCTCCATATATTTCACTTTTGATTTGGACGTATTTGTGTCCGAAATACGCTTCAGTATAGTTCACAACACTACAATTATATCGTCGTTTACCTTTCTTTTGGAAAAGAAAGCTATCATAATAAGAGAAAGAAAGCGTTCCTTCAGTTAGTATTGGGGTATGGTGGTGAACAGGGAACATGTTCTTGTAGAAGTAATATCTTAGAGGATGGTATTGAAGATTGGTCAAAAGGCCTTTGGAGTTCTTCAAAATCCACATACTATTAATTCCAACTTATAAGTAAACACTATCACAATCAGACTATAACCCAGATTTGATAGTACTTGGAATGGTGGTTAGTAGTTTTGACAAAGGCGTGGTTAAACAGCTGAACGAGCCAGCAATAAACGTTGTTGTTTATATGGATTACTGTGAAGTTTTGTCCAATATAAACGAGGGAGGTCGATATCCTTATCACTAATAGGCAACCTAAATTGTAATACCGAAGCATGATTATCTAGTATTTAGTCTTCACAAAAATTGCGTAATGTAAAGGAGGTGTTTCCTTCGTTATCAAGCATGCCGAGTTCTTTTTGTATACAGGAAATGAAATGTAAAAATATTTGCAGACAAGGAGCAAGCTATTGGACGCCATATAAGCAGCCACAATAACATGTCATTTAAAATATGAAGTACGATTTAACATCAGGACCGGGGAAAGCTGAGCTTTGTCTTTTTCCCATTGTTGAGTTTTCAAGCTGCAAATTCTAAATGATGGACCGAATTTACTTACTCCACTCATCATGTTCTCGTTTGCCCATTCTCTTGCATGGTTTTCAATAGAATCCATAGGTATCTTTTAAATTCCTATTCCGATTAACGGCCAGAGTTTCACGATATTTTGGACCCTTCATGCTTACTGTACCTATGGGATGAAGAAACGCATGACGACATTATTTGCAATATCCAGTGAATGCATTGTTCAAAAACAATGGAAATCGGCAAAGCAGCTCTAGCTTACAGTTCACGTGGTCCTGTATCGAATGTTGCATTATTATATTGCGTGACGATGTCTTCCGGGGAAAGCGCGAAACAGGAAAATCTCGTGCACAACAGTGTTGTGACATTGAGTAACACTACTCGTCATACCATTAGGCAGTCTTCATAAAGATACCTTATTTTCCAATAGTTTTATTAAATTCTGATAGCACTAAACAATGGAACGGCTGACGGAAGTACAGAGGGATCAAGCCATTGCGATAATTATGCAAGGTCAAAGTCAAAAATAGGTTGTCGGAAATTCCGGTGTCCATATTTGCACCATAGAACGTCTTGTTAGACGTGTAAGGGAAATTGGGCAGGTTGCTGGAAGACCTTGGTCTGGGCGTCCGCTCATGACGTCACAACATCAGGGCAGGTTAATTCGTCTCGCGCATTTGCGCAATCGGCACTTTACTGCCACTGAATCTGCCCTTCATACCACAGGTACTCATAACCGTCCTATCCATGCAAAAACTGTAAGGAAACGATTGCGGGAAATTGGTATGCGGGCACGTCACCCGTTTGTAGGTATGCACCTTACCACTGCTCTTCGCCAGCGTCGTGACACCTGGGTCGCGGCACATGCCCCCAGATTATTCCGATTGAGGCAGTGGAGATAGGTCTTGTTTACTGATGAGTACCTGTTCATCCGTTTCGAGCAGACGTTCGACGTCGTGTATACCGACGTCTTGGAGAACGTTTTGCCAACTGTTGCGTAGTAGAGACGGATAGGTTTGGGATGGATCGGTTATGGTGTGGGGAGGAATCTCACACGGAATTAAAACACCTCCGGTTGTGGTAGTGGATAATTTAACTGCCGTGAGGTATAGAGATGAGATCCTCCGTTACTATGTTGTCCCATTATTGCAGCAAATAACCTTAAACTCCAGCAGGATAATGCTCGGCCCAATGTAGGATAAACTCACTCGTGCTTAGGAGAATCAGGGCTGTTGAGAGAGGGAATGGGAGACATACCCAGTATTGACTAGCCAGCTCGTACAATCAGTCCATTTCGATTTCAGATTACAGAGTTATCTTTCAATTTCGTTCAATTACTCCTACATCACTTAGCAGACATAAATTGTTCATTTTGCAGTTCGTTCTGTATGGATTAATTTTCATTCTTACTTTGAAATATTGAAGATTTTGAATAATGCTTAAATCACCAGTTACTATGTGTCCGGTTGGACCAAAGTTATAAGTATAGGTACATGAAGAATGCCTGAAGCACGCATTATATCCTACATTGGCCTGGGGGTCTCTATAAATTAACTGATTGACATGAACATATCACAAACCTCTTGATCTTTGAAATAAGCTGACGTTCTTAGACGTCACAAGGTCCATATATCCAACCGGAAGTAAATAAGACGATATGTTGGAAATGGTACAGACACCGGAAGTCCATCCAAAAGTGAAAGACAGACACGAGCTTCCGAAGTCCGTACAAATATTTTCACAATCCGACACTGACTTTATATTTATGGACTGCCAACAGGAGTCAAAGTAACGGTCACATGGAAGGTCAAGGTCAGCTGACCAAGTGAAGGAGGAGGATAACATCTGACATCCTGCGAATAAATTACAGCGTTATCACATGTAATGATTATGGTGTCTAAAACAATATTTTAACGTGACATATGGTCCTCCCAGCAAAACATGAATATTATTATGTAAATATTTCAAAATTTTACATGCCATTTTCTCTTTTGACCCTAAGAATCACTGACGAGTCCTAGAATGACGAAACAGCCGTGTGACGGACTTTAATTGATATTTGTCTATACTACATATAATTCGAAATTTGTATCGAAAGGTATTTTTGATTCGTGTCTTTTATATAATCCTCTACACGATATTATATTTCATGTGTTCATGTTACAATATACTGCTGTAATATATATATATTTGTTTATAATGTGTTGATACAGTGTATCGATAGATAGCGTCAGAAAGACGATTCAAACTCAAATTTAATAAAATTAGTGAAAAATATTAATTGAAAAAAGTTTTACACTGAGACTGCAGTGAAAATAAGACCATACGTTTTGAAAATAAATCCTGGTCAGTCAAAGTAAGTGATATGACGATCCTAAATATGAACCCTGTTAACAATGACAGAACAAACAGTATGATAACTAGCATCAAACACACTTCGACCTATGTCACCAATCACTTACCATCAAATAACCATAACCTCACATGTTTATAGAAAATTTGTTACATGTTACTTGGTACACTTCTCTGAAGATGTGCGCCGAACACCACGTAACTTTCTTCATTTTAGTTAAGGATTTCACTGTCACAGGCAAACCATGCACAAGCTCTGTTATGTACTGAAACACATTCAGCGTACTATGGTAATATTTGCCGTTGACGATCACTTAGTATTATACTAATGATCTTTTAGAAACTACTTTAAGGACTTATTATTCAATATGGAGATAATTTTTGTTATTTCCCAATCTACGACAGAACGCAGGCTATTCTCGCTAATACCAGATCGATACTCCTGACCAGGACATGGTACGTCTCTTTAACAGAGGTATTAGCAAGGAGCCAAAGGAAGATGTTGTGATACTATGTTCCTTTGCTATTGTCAGGAATGTGAAAAAAACTGCGTAAAAAGATATATTGAGAAAGACACACAAGTGAATAGCATTATAGAAGACAATTTAGAATGACGTAGGGCGAGATCATGAATCAAACTGTATCATACAGCTGTTTCGTCCTTTAAGTTCTCGTAAGTGATGATGATGGTCTGTTTTTTTGAAGATTAGGAGGTGACTGGTGACAATCTGATGTGATCGAAATATATATGAAAATCTAGATAAAGCCTTTGTAGAGAAATAATTAATCCTTGTCGTATTTCCAAAAAAAATGTGTTCTCTTGAAGGTTTTGATAAAAAAAAATCGGAAACTGAATCCTCTGAGCTCATTAGCATCACTACCTAACCAGTATCAAGACGATCTAAACATCAGCATCTCACTCCATGATCCAGAAGATCCCCGTCTATTTACCCTATGGAATGATTGTATTTTCAGGACGTAATGTCCAATTCATCTCAATTAAAATCGATGATAACATTACTCTCGAATACACATTTTTATAACTGTAGTGTTAAAGCCCACACCAACATAGAGGACACGAAGAAAAATAGCCTGGTCTATTATTGGAAAAAACTGAGTTTTAAAGCAAACTTTTTAATCACGGTTAACTGATGCTGTTTTACGGTGGAACTAAAAGCTTTTACAATCTTGTTAGTGTAGTTTAGGAATCCGTGTTCTGGTATCTCGTGGGACATAGATTTGTGCTAAATATATTTCTTTTCGCTAAAAGGAATTTATCTTCTCCAGAAATGAACGTTTGTGGTAAACAAGTCAATAAATTAATGTCGACGAAAACAAAATGAAATCATATCAAAGTGCCGACAAAATGGATTGTTTTGTTGCTAGTTGTACACGGTCTAATTGGGACTAAAAAGCAACTGTGTAAATATTACCACCCATCAAATTTTCATAACATTAACTGTGTGACTATTACCACCCATCAAATTTTCAGTTTACTAACTGTGTGACAATTACCACACATCAAATTTTCATATCATTAACTGTGTGACTATTACCACCCATCATATATTCAGCTTACTAACTGTGTGACTTTATCACCCATCATATATTCAGCCTACTGACTGTGTGACTATTACCAACCATCAAATATTCAGCTTACTGACTGTGCAACTTTACAACTCAACAAATATACTCCTTACTGACTGTGTTAATATTACCACCCATCAAATATTCAGCTTACTGACTGTGCAACTTTACCACCCATCAAATATTCTCCTTACTGACTGTGTTAATATTACCATCCATCAAATATTCAGCTTTCTACCTATGAGACTATTATCACCAATCACATATTCCACTTACTAACTGTGTGAATATTACTACCCTTCAAATATTCAGCTTCCTGACTGTGACTTTAACACCCATTAGATATTCAGCTTCCCCACTGTGACTTTAAAATTCGCTAATTTCCTTTTTATATTTCTTGAACGAGAAGGAAATAATCTACCTGACTCCGGAAGTTGTGAAACCAAACTCAGCGACATAAGCCACAGGAAAATCCATAGACCTTCCATTGTGATGATTCGAATGTCAGTGACATGTCAATACTAACACATGAACAATGTTTGTAGCTCAGGGAGGTGGGGCACAAAAGGGACATAATCCAATGACTGTGACAGTCTGTACATTTCATATAATATCATAATTATATCAACGGAGAAATGTAGTTTTGGAATATTTTCAGATTGTTTTTGGGCCGAAGAAAACATATATAAATATTTGTAAGGTTTTGGACAATTTTCCTACACAGGTATACCTTAAGCAGACTTCGTTCCCCTTCCTTTCCCTTACAGGCCGTCCTCATCTCCGACAGGTGCGTGGTCTATCTTTTCTCGCGTCTAGTCGTGCTATCAGGGCACCTGTTGATAGTGTGACTCTTGTCTACATCAGATTATTAGCTATGCTACAGTTATTGTGTGACGATGTATTACCGTATTGACACCAATTTACTATTATGATTATGTCTACAATTATCGGGTTACACTCCGTATTTTTTTTTTTTTTTTTATTTAGTAGCGCTATTTGTTGTGGTCTTTACACGCAGTATTCTTTTCATATGATAGTGGTTTAAGAGTAAAATAGAAAAGCGTTTTAAAGACGCACAAGAGAATAGCACCTTTTATTAACTTATTACTTAACTATAAAATAAGCATTTGTCCTAACAAAATGGATGACCCTAGATGTCATTGACAAAAACCTAATCATATTTCACAGTCGTGACATTGATCTCATTGAGAAATATATCTTTGTACGATATGGAGATTGACGTGTTCATAGGTTTGCGGGATGGTTCCGTTGTCATAACATTATTTACTTGGATTGGCCCAGATTAACATGGCGGGTGTCGTGTATGAATTAGAAGGCGCTTAATCTTCTGGAACACCTTGTTTTATTTTCCATTTAAATCTCTCCTTTGCATTATATTTTTTGTGCTTATTCTTTTACAGTTTAATCTATTTTATAGTATATATTAATACTTATCAAAAACGATGTTAGTCGTTTACGAACTTTTGTACGATATATTTATCTTTATTCTAGTTTATTTCACAAATCCCAAACCACCGTCTTCCTGATTACAAATGTTTCTGAAGGACATCACCAGTATATAAGTTAATATTTTTGAACAGTTATGACATCATACTATATCCCAGTGGTATATGTAATAATGTGCTATTCGTGTTGTACTCTGATAGGCGACAAATTCAGGACACTTTCATTATCCTGAGTATTTAGGTTGTTGGGAATTATACATTTCATTTCATTTCTTTTATTGTCCAAAAAAGGATGTAATTGTCTATTTTAATATCATACTCTCAAACTCTCAAAAATTAGGCACAGTACAATTGTTTGATCACTGATCAGTCGCTATTACCAACAAACCAAATACTGAGAAAATTTGGGGTTTCATTTCATTTTTTCGGATGGGGGTATTATTATTATTATATACGTGCAATCTAGATTGTTCGGATTATTGCATGGATCACTCCCTCTGGTACAATGACGATACCTTACAATATTTCTCTCTTTTCATTGCCCGTACTATTAGGAAGTGTCACATACTAAAGGGCCGCCAGAATCGCGGATTATTATGATATGGGGGTATTCACATAATTTCCGTTTACAAGCTAATTAGTGAGACCTATGGGCGACAAATCGATAAAAAGTACTCGTTATAATATGTCTAAAAGCTATTGCTGACTAAAGGAAGTTGTTATCGCGGGTTCTTATCATCAGCATCAGCCATTGTGTAACAAAGTAATACCATCGTCTCTCCAACAAGTGACTTATCTACATATTGATGTTATTTCAGTGGTATGAGTAAACACGCTTCAGGTATATAATCCATTACAGTAATTATGAACGGACATAAAAGAAAAAAAAATTCAATTTTCTTCAAACCTAATTTGAAAACGCTAAACGTTTTCATTCGATATTGGCACGCGCTGATGATATACAAACTCATCAGGCTTTTTAATGCAACATTGTACGCGGTGAAATTTATTCTCGTTATTGTTTTCAGGGGTTGAAATATGTCCTTATTTGGTTTTTTACATATATTTCTAACAATTTGTATTCCCACAGCCGTTTCAACAATATGGGTATATGATATCGTTCTAGAACAACGAAACAGTTGCATAATGTAGTTTAATTAATCATTTGATTACATCTAATTGTAAATTTTGTAATGAAAGGCGCATATTACTTTCGTGTCGCTGATACAACCTTGTAACCTTTATGTATTTGTATATCCGTTTTATCTGTATGGTGTACTCGTTTGTAAACGTTCAGTATTCCATTGAAAGAATGTTTATATATGAATACATTGTATGTAAAAAATAGATATGATAGCATCCAACGGAATTTGATACAGATACCAATATATTTGAGTTTTGATTTCAGACTGTAATATACGAGTGGTTTTGAGTGTTTGACATCAGGAACAGTGATCTATTTGATTAAACATCAATTCTAGATATTGATAAAAAATACAATAATCAAAATATCACCGTCAGCAATAGAACGACTACTGTGTGTAGATGTAAGTTACATGACCCTGTAGAGAGCAGATCATGTAACACTTTCATCACCATAACGACTACTGTGTGTAGATGTAAGATCTTGTATCACCTTCATCACCATAACGACTACTTACTAGAATTACAACCACAAACATCACCATCCGTTTATATATATGTACTTACTAGAATTACAGACCACAAACATCACCATCCGTTTATATATATGTACTTACTAGAATTACAACCACAAACATCACCATCCGTTTATATATATGTACTTCCCAAAATTACAACCACAAACATCACCATCCGTTTATATATGTACTTGTTAGAAACACATCCCCGTATCCGAGATATATAATCTTTCGCACATTTACCATCAGCCCAATGTCTCTTAAAGCGACCGATTTATTAATAGATCTTTCGAAACAGGAAAAATAGGCACTATCCCTACGGAGTACAAACAAAGCTTGACCGTCTACTGGTTTAAGTGGACAAATCATTAGACCTATACAACAAATTAGCAACAACATCACTTAAATTGTACGTGATGCCCTTGGGATGACAACATATGGAAAACAGTATGTGACATGGACTAGTAATTGGACAAGTTTACCATCGACATTCTAGGCAATCAAAGGCGTTGGGTATTAAGATATACGCTAGATAGACTAATGAACGAACACATCAACACAAGTAGCAGTGAAATAAACTGGATTGTCTCCTCTTGGATAAACAGAATCTCTTAAACCATTTTGTTGAACATACATGGAGGGAAATACCCATAAATTCCAGGGTGCAGACTTAAGCAAATTATAGCATCCTGTGTATAGTGTCAATACAACATTCTTGAAACGAAGTCTTGTTCCATACTTAAGCCGATACTTGAGGTGAAGAGTCATTAAAAACACCGGTCACGATCGCGACGCCATCTAACCTTTCTGGAAAGTTGAAATGGCATATAATACATCTATAATACACGTTTTCGATGCTTAATCTTCCTTTAAACCCATGTTCGATACGTGTCTGATAGGATTTCCTTACTCCCCTAAAGACAGCTTTAATGCTATCGTTTTAGTAGGAACGTGACATGCTCCTCAGAATCAGTAAATGGCGTGCGAGTTTTAAATAGCTGCCTTTACGTGATATTTCTTAATGTATCTAACACGGTTTCTGTTTGGCATTGGACATTATTACACAGTCAATCATTGTCAAACTTGAATATTGATTTCTCCATAATCCTGAAATGGACTAAAAATAAGCATTAGATTCAATATGACAGTTACAAAGGCATATACTGGTGTCATGTACTCATTCTCTCTAGACACAAACTACAATGGCTTATCTTATATACTTTGTATGACATTTCATCATTGTATCAAATGCCGTCTTTCGACAGATCATACGAAATCAAACACATGTTTAACATAGATATGAAAAAAGGAATGGATATTGACATATCTGTGAACCATATGGTCATCGACTCTATAGCGAACAGACTGTTATTTGCCGGAAGAAGACCAATCATTCACAATCATTGACAATGTATATGCAGTCAATCCGTGTATTGTTTTCACACCTTAAATGCTCTAGAATCCCTTGCATGAATTATCAAAATCTACATGGCGGAAGCACATGATACTTAAGATTCCGGAGCAGGTCAAACATCGGCATTTTCAATTTGGTTCTGCAATGTGCAGATGCTGGAATGATTTTTTTTCAAAAAATCAACACTGCGCATTATTCTTCTTGTTGAGTACATATGTAGGTGACACGTGCGTCAGTGTAGGTGTCTAGAACAGAAAACAGACGAGTTTAACGACACACTTTAGACTGACAAAGTTATACGATTCCAGGTAGCAGGTGGTAAGCTGCCTTTCCCAAACTTCGATTACGAACGATACTGTATGTATTTAAATTATGAGTAATTCTTAAGACATGATTGAAATGATATGTAACATATAAATCGGTTAGATTGTTTTTAATTCTCTCTCATTTCTTCTCCTTCTTGTCTCCATAGACGCATACTTGCGTTTGGCCTTTAGTTGAGCTTTCGCTCTTGTGAGCAAAACTTTGGGTTTTGCCGCATGTCTTCAAAAACGATATTTACTACTCCCCGCGCATTATAGTAGTTGCAACTGGTTCACCCATTGTCATTATAATGTGACAGGGTTTCCTGCTGGAGGTAATATACTTCAGTGTGATAACACTATAAAGTCAACTTCAGCTCTGCGTTCTCAAAAGGACACTTACACGCTTACACGGAAGGCCTTCTTTCAATTACCCTAGCTGTTGACAGAACGTAAGCAGTATCAGTCTAACCAAACTAAACGTATCAAGAAATATCCTAATGGATTTATCAGGTCATCGTCGACGTGGACCGTCCGCCGTGCGTCTTGCGTAAACGTTTTTCTTTAAAACCCTACTCCTCTTTCATACCGTGGTGGATTTCAACCAAATTTGGTCTGATGCACCCTGGAGTGCGGATAATTAAG